CAAGCGTGGCACGTGCCCCAGGGGGGGACACACTCAGCTCCCCCAGCGCCGTGTCCCTCCTGGTGGGGGCTCATGTGCAAAAAGGCTTCACCCCAGGCCTTTGAAGCCCCCCCACGCCCAGCCCCCTCCCCATTTACACCAGTAAGGTACTGGTGCAACGTGAGGTTTCACGGCACAGGCTCTGCTGGGGTAAACTGCACTTTACCCGCGGCTCATGGGGTGGTGGGGATGGAGTCAGGGGAGGGGGGGCAGCAGGCATGGCCTCTGCACCCACCTTCCAGCAGCAGGGGGTCTCCCCGGACCCCCCCTTCCTCCCCCCCACATCGTGGGTCAGCACTTTGGGAGGGGGAAAGGAGAGCAGAACCGAGCAGCCTCTTCTCCAGCGAGGCTGAGACCGGGGGGAAACTCATTGCAGGAGTGAATGTTTAGCCTCGGTTGATGGGTGTGTGTTTGGTTTAAGGGTTAATTTTGCACTGGCAGTGGCAGGAGCACGAGCAGAGCCTGGTGGGGGGGTAAAGTCCGTTTCGCAGTCGTCATCTCCTACCTGAACCATGTGTTGGATGTCTGAGCTTCCTGGCCAGCGTCTGACTCTCTGTCTGTCCGTCTCTTGGCCGTCATCTCCTACCTGAACCATGTTCTGGACGTCTAAGTTGCCCGGCCAGCATCTGTCTGTCCATCTCTCAGATGTCATCTCCTACCTGAACCACGTGCTGGACGTCTGAACTGCCTAGCTGATGTCCATCTGTCCATTCATTGGCCATCATCTCCTACTTGAACCATGTGCTGGACATCTGAGCCACCCAGCTGCTGTCCATCTGTCCGTCTGTCCATTCCTCGGCCATCATTTCCTACCTGAACTGTGTGCTGGACATCTGAGCCACCTGGCTGGCGTCTGTCCATCCATCTGTCCGTCTCTCAGCCGTCATCTCCTACCCAAACCATGTGTTGGATGTCTGAGCTTCCTGGCCGGCATCTGACTCTCCGTCTGTCCATCTCTTGGATGTCATCTCCTACCTGAACCATGTTCTGGACATCTGAGGCGCCCAGCCAGCGTCTGTCTGTCCATTTCGCAGTCGTCATCTCCTACCCAAACCATGTGTTGGATGTCTGAGCTTCCTGGCCAGCATCTGACTCTCCGTCTGTCCATCTCTCGGCCATCATCTCCTACCTGAACCACGTTCTGGACGTCTGAGCCGCCCGGCCAAGCGTCCGTCTGTCCATCTCTCAGCCGTCATCTCCTACCCAAACCATGTGTTGGATGTCTGAGCTTCCTGGCCAGCATCTGACTGTCCGTCTGTCCGTCTCTCGGCTGTCATCTCCTACCTGAACCATGTTCTGGACGTCTGAGCCGCCCGGCCAAGCGTCCGTCTGTCCGTTTCGCAGTCGTCATCTCCTACCTGAACCATGTGTTGGATGTCTGAGCTTCCTGGCCAGCGTCTGACTCTCTGTCTGTCCGTCTCTTGGCCGTCATCTCCTACCTGAACCATGTTCTGGACGTCTAAGTTGCCCGGCCAGCATCTGTCTGTCCATCTCTCAGATGTCATCTCCTACCTGAACCACGTGCTGGACGTCTGAACTGCCTAGCTGATGTCCATCTGTCCATTCATTGGCCATCATCTCCTACTTGAACCATGTGCTGGACATCTGAGCCACCCAGCTGCTGTCCATCTGTCCGTCTGTCCATTCCTCGGCCATCATTTCCTACCTGAACTGTGTGCTGGACATCTGAGCCACCTGGCTGGCGTCTGTCCATCCATCTGTCCGTCTCTCAGCCGTCATCTCCTACCTGAACCATGTTCTGGACGTCTGAGCTGCCCGGCCAGCATCTGTCTGTCCATCTCTCAGATGTCATCTCCTACCTGAACCTTGTGCTGGACGTCTGAATGCCTAGCTGATGTCCATCTGTCCATTCCTCGGCCATCATCTCCTACTTGAACCATGTGCTGGACATCTGAGCCACCTGGCTGGCATCTGTCCATCCGTCTGTCTGTCTCTTGGCTGTCATCTCCTACCTGAACCATGTTCTGGACGTCCGAGCCACCCAGCCAGCATCTGTCTGTCCATCTTGTCCAAGCCACCCAGCCAGCATCTGTCTGTCCATCTCTCAGATGTCATCTCCTACCTGAACCACGTTCTGGATGTCTGAGCAGCCTGGCTGGCATCTGTCCGTCCGTCTGTCTGTCTCTCGGCTGTCATCTCCTACCTGAACCTCGTGCTGGACATCTGAACTGCCTAGCTGATGTCCATCTGTCCATCTGTCCATCTCTAAGCCATCATCTCCTACCTGAACCACGTTCTGGCAGCCATCATCTCCTACTTGAACCATGTGCTGGACATCTGAGCCACCTGGCTGGCGTCTGTCCATCCGTCTGTCTGTCTCTCGGCTGTCATCTCCTACCTGAACCACGTGCTGGACGTCTGAGCTGTCTAGCCGGTGTCTGACTGTCTGTCTGTCCCTCTGTCGGCCGTGATCTCCTATCTGAACCACATGCTGGATGTCTGAGCCACCCGGCCGGCGTCCGTCTGTCCATCTCTCTGCCACCATCTCCCACCTGAACGTGTGCTTGGGCATCTGAGCCAAGAGCTTGGGTCCGTCTGTCCGTCTGTGACCTGAACCACGTGTTGGGCATCCAAAACACCGTGCCTGTGTCTGTCCGTCCGTCTGTCCCAATGGACTGAGTCCCCAGCTGCCTGCTCTGCCCCTCCATCTGAACCACGTCCTATATCTCCCCACCACCAACCCCACGTCCGTCTGTCTTTCCATCCCACCCGACTCAGGCTCGGTCCGTCGGCTGTCTGTCTGTCTGTCCTGCTGGATCTGCTGCCTCTGCTGCCTGTGGACGCTCCCGACGTCCGTCTGTCCTTCTGCTGCACGTCCCACTCATCCTGATCCTCATCCGATGGGACCCTGCGCCCGCATCCGTCAGTCCGTCCGCCCCCTCCACCTCCCTGACCCTCAACGGGAGCTGCTGAGCCCAAGTTCTGTCTGTGCGTCACCTCTTTTGTGTGAGCCCCCCCCAGCCCCCCCAAAAAATGGACCTGTGAAACCCTGCGACACCCAGCGGCCCCCGGGGGCTTGTCCGTCCGTCCGTCTGTCCGTCTGCTCCTTCTGCACTCAATCTGGACCCAACCACGCATCTCCACGGAGGGGTTCCCCTCAGGAGGGAGCAGAGTGTCCTCCCTCACTTTGTCCCCCCCAGGGGCCCCCCCAAACCCCTCCGTTGCTCCTCTGGTCTCCCCAAACCTCAG